GAAAATTGAAGCTACCGCGAGCACGGTGAAAAACCTATTGGATGCTAGATTCATTTCCAATGTGAAGTATGCAAAATGGTTGTCCAACATTGTTCTAGTGAAGAAAGCCTCTGGGAAGTGGAGGATGTGTGTTGATTGCACAAATCTTAACAAAGCATGTCTGAAAGATTCTTATCTACTCCCGAACATTGACAAGATTGTAGATAATTCAACCAGATATAAGTTACTATCATTCATGAACGCCTAATCTGAGTATAATCAGATACCTATGTTTGGGTCTAACCGGAGAAAGACAACACTCATGACCAAAAAAGTCAATTGTTAATACAACATCATACTTTTCAAGTTGAAGAATATTGGTGTGACATATCAGAGGATGATGAACAATATCTTTCAGGAATAAATAGGGGAGATAGTGGAAGTATATATGGATGATATGATTATAAAATCCAGTCGAGAGAAACTTCATGCTCAACACCTCAAGCAGGTATTCAAAAGGTTTCGTAGCCTAACATGAGATTGAATCAATAAAAGTACACCTTCGAGATAAAAGTTGACAAGTTCTTAGACTTCTACAAAGCAGTAATCTAGATAAGTGCTCTAACCTCAAAGAATGAGGTTTAAAAGTTGAATGATATATTGACTTCTTTGAAAAAAAATTATTTTATCATTATTGAGGATCTAATCTAACTTTTTAAAAATAGTCTCAAATAAAAACCTAAAAAAATCATTTAATTTTGCCATTAAAATAAAACAAATAATCCCAACCATCAAACTCGATTTTTTTAAAAATTATTTTATGTTTGAAATAGTTAGTAAAAGATATATGATATTTTATGTTAGAAATAGTTAGTAAAATATAGATGGTTGATTTTAATTGATTATACATAATTTATCCAATTATTCCAAAGACAATTAAACCTCACTTAAAATAAAAAAGAATTTTCCAATTTTTGCCACTACTTTACTTTTTGCAACTATGCACAATTTCAAATTTATATACGGTGCCACTCGACACCAACGTTGGACAAAGAAGAGTCGTAAACACCGTTTTATGTTTCGGACTTTGCCATCACTAATATCACCACCACCACTAATTTCCAACATCAAAATGTCAGAGAAGAATCAACAGAAGAACAAGACCCGAAAGAGTAACGTCAATGGGGTCAGCAAAAAGACACAAACTTTGGTGAAAACAGAAGACATAGAGGATGCAGTGTCCTTCTTCTCCAAAGATGAAACCCACAAACTGAGAGCGGTTCTATTGGATTGGTACGATCACAACCATAGGGTTCTTCCTTGGAGAACCGCCTCCAACCATAGCAATCTTAAAGAAGAAGAAGAAGAAGTGGAAAAAAGAGCTTATGGTGTTTGGGTTTCTGAGATTATGCTGCAGCAAACAAGGGTTCAGACTGTTATTGCTTATTATAACCGTTGGATGCTGAAATGGCCCACCATTCATCATCTAGCAAAGGCTTCTCTTGAGGTTTTCACTCATTCCATTTCTCTTTTTGTTTGTAAAAATTGTTTCTTTTTTATTTCCAATACATGGTTTAGTAGAAAACACTGCATTACTCTATATATAACCCTAAGTACTGCAAATGCTTCAGTTAATATAAATTTGTGAAGCCCCATTAGAGAGAATCTGGCATATCTCATTTAAGTGGATTGGACATGAATGTAATGTAGAACAGTAGAAGATTTGTGGAAGTTATAAGAGTGGAGCTATGTAGCTCCCACCTCAGATTGAAGACATGTTTGGTGTGAGACGCGACACAGACACATGACGTAACATTTAGTCATTTTTTTTCTTAAATTATTATTGATGTTTTAATGTCGCGTCAGGTGTCTGTGTTGTGTCTATGTTAGTGTTTCATACTAGTGAAGTAGATGGGGTAGTCTAATAGATTGAGGTAGATGGTGAAGTTGACTGATGCACTTAGCAGACTTCACACTTAGTGGGACAAGCTTGCTTGTTGTTGTTTTTATCTTTTTATTAAACTTCTGCAAATTTGAGGGGCTGTTGCGAAAGATGTTGACATCAATGCAAATGTTCTGTTAATTTGTTATCAAGTTCCTGGTACTTTTTTGAGCGGTCATCAATAAATTCGGAAAATATTATGCTTTGACACTAAGAATTGACTAGTTGTGAAATTTAAAAGCATTTGTTGTCATTTATGTGCAGGAAGTGAATGAGATTTGGGCTGGTTTGGGTTACTATCGCAGAGCTCGTTTTCTTTTAGAGGTGCTGCTTTCTCACTACTACATTGTTTAAGAGTCTTAAACCTTTGTCACTTTATATTTTCTGCTAATAATACCAATACATACTGCATGCAAGCCTGCAAAGTCTGACTAGATTCATTTCATTTCTGCTGTTAGGGCGCAAAGAAAATAGTTGCAGAAGGAGGTGTTATTCCTAAAACAGCTTCTTTGCTACGAAAGATTCCTGGAATTGGAGACTATACATCTGGAGCAATTGCCTCTATAGCATTCAAAGAGGTTTGTAGTTTCTGTAATTCTGTTTACTGAAAAGTATATATCGGCTATTTCTTATGATCTAAATTATCAGCCGGTACCTGTGGTTGATGGAAATGTGATAAGGGTCATTGCCAGATTAAGGGCTGTTTCTGAAAATCCGAAAGACTCGGCAATCATTAAGAGATTTTGGTGAGTGTTTTGTAACTTCTGGAACAAGTTATTCATCCTTTTTTCTCGTGAGATTTTATAATCACTGGCTTGCGTTTTATTTCTTTACTTATTTTGTTATTTCTTTTGATGTGTGTTGGAATGGAGATTAAGGGAAATAGCAGCTCAGTTGGTCGATCCTCTTCGTCCGGGAGATTTCAATCAGGCTCTCATGGAACTTGGTGCAACCTTATGCACCCCTTTGAACCCAAGCTGTTCGTCGTGTCCAGCATCAGAATTTTGTCATGCACTATCAATCGCTAAACGCGACAGTACAGCAGCAGTTACGGATTATCCGATTAAGGGTGTGAAGATTAAACAACGATCCGATTTTTCAGCTGTATGTGTTGTTGAATTACTTGGAGATGAAAAACAATCTAGCAGCAAATTTGTTCTCGTAAAAAGGCCCGAGGAAGGATTGCTTGCCGGTCTATGGGAGTTTCCGTCTGTCCTAGTAGCTGGAGAAACTACTCCATTAGCTAGAAGAAAAGCAACCGACTGCTTCTTGAAACAAAATCTCAAAATCGACATAAAAAAGACTTGCGATATTATTTTGAGGGAAGATGTCGGAGAATTCGTTCACATTTTTAGTCACATTCGCCTCAAGCTGTATGTGGAATTGCTAGTGTTACAATCGAAAGGTTTGAACCTCTTCCAATATAACATTACAAGTTGAATTTAATCTTTTTGTTTCTCTACATGAAAATATGAATGCAATGATTACATGTTAATGCTACTTTTTTGAACTAATGCTAGTTTTTTTCCTCTTTCTCATTCTGTAAGGGAAAGAAGATGATTTGTTCAAGAGCGAGGACGATGAAACTATAACTTGGAAATGTGTTGACAGCAATGCCCTCTCAAGCATGGGACTGACAACCAGTGTAAGAAAGGTAATATGGCGACGCACTAAGCAACATCGCTCGTCTTGTTTATATGAAAATGTTAATATATTCATAAAATAGTGGATTATGCTAGTTTCCAAGGTTTCAATCAGACTCGTTTGTTTGATTAAATATTCAAATTCAAAGGTTCTTATACTTCTTGCTTTATATCTGGATACTGTATTTTCATACCTTAAAATTGGTATATACTATTTCAGGTGTACAACATGGTTCAAAAATTTAAGCAGAAAAGGCTTCCTTCTAAGAACGCTCCGCCGCCGACCAAAAAGAGAAATAGAACAACCAAGAAAAACTAGTCTGGTTGAATCGGATTTGGGCTGCATTGTACAAAACTACAAATTATTTTGCTGCTATGGAGTAACACTTATTCTTCATGCATTTTATTGTTAGTAGAATGCATTCTTAATTGTGCATGATAAGCTGTGATATGTATGGTCTTCAATATCTTGCAATGTGACTTCTTTGAGAGAGTAAGCATGAAATTAAGTGGATGAGTTACATGTATTATGTATAATTTATCTGATTAATCATGTTTTAGTAGCAAAAACTTCCCTTGATAATCTCTGGTTACTTATATCTTGTTGATCTATTTCTTAGAATTTATATAATTTTAGTAATGATAATATTTTTTAAAAGCATATTTATGCAAGACTAAATAATTATATTTATATCCCTTAATTTTGTCTTATTTTCAATGTCATCTAATTTTTTTAGTGATTAATGGTTGTCAAAATTATCGTTTTTTAATCTGTATGCAAATTGGTAATAATTATTAATAATTTATAGAACAATCGTGAAAGCCAGAATTCGCATTTTGGTGTTGGTGTTGAATCTAATAATATCGACTTTTGTCAGTTGAGTTAAGATCGGTGAATTGTCAAAATTTTCTCTAATGCTAATTAATATAAAAATGTGACTATTGTATAATTAAAAATGCGAAATTCTAGAATATTATTACCAAGCAGAAAAGAAAAAGCAAAATGAATTATTTTTTCTTTGCATTATTTTTCATTTCTAATTAATTATTTTTAGAAACTTTCAACTAATAATATAGTTTTTCAACTATTTTCAAAATTTTTAAGTTCCTTGTTTTATTACTCTCACAAAAAAATCAATTTGTCTTTGGGAATTTTATTACATTGGCTTGATACTTAGTCACACAATATTTGCCACTACTAGTTATTTGTATTCTAGTGTTCTAAGTTTCTATATTTATTTTTTCTTAATTTCAAAAGATATATAGAAAGAAAAGGAGAGAAAAAAAACCAGTGGTACATATTGTCTGAAGAACCATGTGGATGACAAGGTTCATTCATTTTGTTCCTCCAACGTATGCTTCTCACTAACATCATCAACAAACCAGTGACAGAAAATGGAATAAAAAATAACAAGAAAAAAAACACAGGAATCATAATGCAAATGGCACTTTTGTTAAGAGGTGGAACACTTGGAGATTCTGCCTTTCGTTTGTGTTCTCTAACTTCAACATCTTCTTCACATGTCTCCCAAAATGTTGTCATACCCAACTCATCATCATCACCATTACTACCTTTGGTATGTCTCTATACGTGTCTGTCTATCTATCAATCTATCTGAGTGTATAACTATTAGTTTCTATGTTTATTTTTCTTGTGATACAGATTGCAAGTAGATTTAAAACAGTAAGTAGAAACAAGATAATTTGCTCTGCAGTTCAAGAATCATCTACTACTAGTACATCAGGTATGTTTCTACACGACCGTAATCAAAACTTTGGTTTGGTTTGGTTTTACTCAGTTCTGGTCATTTCTTAACACATGTATCCAATCATGTATTTGTGGTTTTAGCTACTGCTGAAACAAAGGAGGAGGTAAAGGCGGCAGCAGCAGCTCCAAAAGCAGCAACAGAGAAGAAGGCTCCACCTGCTAAAGCTCCGGTTAAGCCTTTACCTCAGATGATGGAAGAGGATGTGATTCCTTCGTTGAAAACAATCTTAGAATCTAATAAAGATCTCTCTGATATTGAGTTGGTTTTTCAGGACAATAAGGTTAGTAATGTTGCTGTGTTATGTATGTTTTATGTCACTTTTCAGATTACTTTCTTTACAATGATCTCTTTGATTTTACAACTTTGACAGTTGGAAGGTTCATTTCTGAAGAAAGGCAATCCTTATTCATTTTGGGCCTTTTTTCCCACAGGAATTACTGGTATGTACTATTTGTGTGTGCTAATTCTTCACTAAAATTGATTTAAACGCGCTTATTATTAACTAATGCTAGTTTCATTATGTTATTGAAACAGGTCCAAAGGGGTTTTCACTGTCATCTTATAACTCCGGAGCAAGCACTGTTGAACCGTTTCTCATTGATGAGAAGAAAATCACTTCAAAACACATTGTCTTTTGGGTTGAAAAACGTTTGGCAGCACAGGGGATTATTCCTGTATGGAAAGATTGATTCTTCAAAAAAGAATTTTCTTTTTGTTTGCAAATCATTTAGCATAAAGTTCGATATTCTCTTGTACCTTGGCTCATTGACTATGCATTATATGGTATATAAAGTGTTGTTTTGATCAACTTGCAATTATCTGTATATGATTTTATGAACAAATCTATTGATCAATGCACGGTTACATCTATATGACTTGATAATGATTAAGAACGTCTTTGAAAATTGAACAAGTGCACGTTTGAATCGACAACGAGAATGACGAAATCGCTATGTAAGCTTCAACAGAATCAGTATGCTACATGATTTTGCCAAATTCCCGCTAATTCAGACATGCATTCAGTTTTCTTAATACCTACAAAGAACACATTGACACAAATTTTCTTGGAAATATTTCACAACATTAGGGGCTTTGCTCAGGCATTTAGACTTGTAACAAAATAAGATCGAGAAAAAAGAATAAACTGACAGAATACTTGGCCAGTTCAATTTTTACCTACATTTTCAAATGTAGTTACTTTATCTCGCTTCTACAACATTGAAATTGTTAAACAGAAATAAATATTGTAATATAGTAAAAAGCTCAAGCTTCTGGTCAAATATCTAATTACTTGTGGTCAAACTTACTAAACATGAAACAACATATAAAAGTGTTACTAGTTCATAATATAGCATATTATGCGCTATATAACCATTTTTTCAAATATTTGGTAACATCGAATAGTAAATTTTGCTAGACTCGTTACTTTTTCCCCCCTCAGTAAAGGCAAATTTCCCAGGGAGACAAAAGCAGGTAAGAATGTTAAGGTTGCCTCAGCAATCTGTTTTATTATGGACATTTCCTCTACAAATATTTTGAAGCAAGCATAAAGCTTTTAGAGCCTTGTAGAAAGCATTTTACTGGAATATCTAGCCTTCAACCTGCCAAAGAGAATAAAAGCATTATCAACACACCACTTCTGAGAACATCAGAACTATCAAAAACATAATAATCAAAACCAAAATAATTATAACCAAATCTCTATCGCCCAAAATCTCTCCTAAATCTAATTACCAGAAGTATTATAAGTTTAGTCTAGTTGGAAAGAACATAAACACTTAATATGTGGTTCTCTTTACCGTAGAATCTAGTTTTGCCGCCTTCATGTGTTATATATTTTTTTATTCAAGATTAGAATATCTAGATAATCAAATATTCAACGTACAATTGAAAAAGGGCGAGTAGGATTAAAAAGAATGTAGTCAAAGCTCTTGTATTAGATGTTCTATGAAAGAATTTACTAGATTACATTACACTACTCTTTCACTAAACGCATACAAAAATAGTACATAATTTCATAACCTCGCTTAAAAATGTAAGAGTAGCCAGTCTCATAACTACATAGCACTAAGTTCACAATTCATTTGACGTTAGTGGTTTCTTTTATGGTAGAACCAAGCCTTAAGCCCTTATTCCACTAGGTGGGTCGGTTAAACAGTTAAATGATGAATTAACCACATGGCATTTGGATCTATCAAAAGCCAATTTTTTAGCAACTTCTTGATATTTTCCCCTTGCAGTTTTTTAGACTTTCTTCTGCCCCCCTTTAATTATAAGATTTAGAGCATCAGATTATTGTAAATTTATCCACTTTTCCCATCTGATCCCAATCTTTTACCTATTTGACCAACAACCCACAGCCACATGCACAAGATTCTGCTATCTTCTCTTTAATTGATGAAAACCCAATATAATACTGGATATATCAACTCCTAATCGTATACATCAAAACACGGAGCTGCCATTTATTTCAAATGAGTATTACTAACAAGTATCATTTAATACTGTAAACCAATTGTGGTAGGAGGTAGCAGTATAAGACTTATGAGACTTATTGGTCTAAGGATACTACAATCCTGCTAAATCTATTCAAAATGTAAGATGCAAATTGTTTCCGCCATGAAAGTGGCAATATGTCAGTATCAGTGAGAATACCGATAACCGGTCAACAACCATAAAACTTGCTATGAACAAAGCATGGTTCTCATATAGTCCATTTCAAAAGACTAGAGTTGCTTCCAAAGTCCTTGCTTCAAGAACTTGACAAAAACCAATTCTAAGCAATAGAGAAGATAACAAGCATCCTACACCAGACAGTCAAAACTCACACATTAGGCGACATCACAGTGAAGTTTTTCTTCGTTTTCTTAATCAATTCGTGAGGTTAATATCATATTATCCCACAACCATAAACACCTTCTCTTAATTATCTAATAAGAAGAACAGTGCTAACAAAATACTCTCCCTTTTTTTTCTTCTAACTCTCCTTTATTTAGTAAAATACATGTGAATGCCACTTAATCACGTGAGTCTCATTTTCTATTTAGTAGAGCCCAACAAAAAAAAAAATAGAGAAAGATTGATTATTTGAAATTGATGGAATTAGAAAACTTGATTACGATGAATGTAAGATACACTTTCTATAGTAATCCTAACTAAGCTAACTAATCATAACAAGATAACTAGTATTCTAACAACTAAATTTAACCGTTTCCAACTCATTCTAACAATCTTCAAATTAGGATTAGACATAACTCAACCCAACAAAACTAACTTGGAACTTGGAAGGTAAGTGATCCCTCCAGCTTATATAAGCACATTTTCATACTATATCTCATCCAATACGTCCTTCTCAATATACCACCTCGCACTCGACGGGTCTTGTATAGACTTTAACACCATTTTAGTAGTATTTAAGTGGCGCCATTTTAGAATTTGAGCTTTCCTAATTGAACACTACAAAATCAAGTTGTAAGACACGAGACGTCTCTGACTTATAAATACATTTTCTCTCAACACTCATTCCCAACATGACGTAGTTCACATGAATTTAAATTTTCAATCAATAACAAAAGCATCATAAGGAATGTAATGCCAACACTTGTCTAACAATTATATTGCTAACAATTTCTATCTTGGAGCAAATTCTAGATTTTCAATTTACTCATTTGAAAATAAAAACGATGAAGAGAATACAAACCCTAGCCAGGACGTGTTCAACGAGATGGTTAGTGCCATTGAGATAAATACCTGATCGTGATTAGAAACGGGATTTTGATTCGGCAAAGAGGATTCGAGATTTGAGATTCGAGTTTGAAGAGCTTCGAATTGATGAGTTATATGAGAAGAGAAAGCGTGACGGTCAACCCAGAGATCCTTCCAAATGAAATGAGAAACCACGGCAGCTGAGGTGGTGAATCCTGCGCTGAACCATAACAGTCGAGTTCGCATCATCTTTTCTTTCTTCTTCCGAACAGTCACCGCCGTAGAAAAGCAGAAAGATGCACCGTGTTCGTGTTTGTGATGATGATGGACAGAGATAACGCACGGGCTAACGACGTCGTATTGACTACTACGAGTCTATTTAGTGTATTGTTTGGTTTGGCTTTTTCGATTTTTTAAATTAATTTATTTAAAAATAAAATTTGTAACTTTTGAGTTTAAAGTAATTTTTATATTAAAAGCTATTGGCTAATTCATTTCTATATAAATGTATTCAAATATAAGTTATTTTATATTTAAATCACTTTTAATCAAAAATAGATTCACTCATAATCAATTATCAGTCGCCACCAAATCAAATATACACTAATTTCATGTAGTTGAAGCATTTATCTTGGCCATTGGGTATGCGTTTTTGTTTTATTGGAAGCAAATATATGTTCGTAAATGAAGTAAACAAGAAAAATGGATCTATATCTCGGAAATTTGCGAAGGTCGGATTCAAAGTCTTAATTGATGTAAGGATGGAAATTACACAATAGACCGAATAAAAATTCAATAGACTTGGATATGAGTATCAACAAATACGTATTTTATTAAAATAAGTAGATAATGGAAATTACACAATAGGTCGAGTAAAAATTTAATGGACTTGGATATGAATATCAACAAATACCTATTTTATTAAAATAAACAGATATAAATGTGGGCACGGATATGAATATCTTAATACCTAATTCACTATATATATATATATATATATATATATATATATATATATATATATATATATATATATATATATATATATATATATATATATATATATATATATATATATATATGTGTGTGTTTATTAATTTTTAAAAAAAAATACTACAATAAAATATCACACATTTTTAATATAAATATTTGTTTATTTTATAATTCAACAATATAACTTTTGAGTTTTTTTAAATGTTATTAAAAATCTTTAAAATATTTGATATTACAAAATTGATCGATTTATTTTTTTTCTAGAAATAAGAGTGTTGTGGACTGGGCCGACACTTGGCCCATAGTCGAGCAGACCCAAACCCCATCAGGTTGGAAGGCCCAATAAGACCTAAGCCGCCTCATCGTCGGGCAGAGACATTTCCCCTGTCAGGCAGAACATCTTCTCCCGTCGGGCACAGACCCATAGTAGTCGAGCAGGCTCCTCACATCTGCCTGGCGCGCTCTATCTTCTGCCCCGTTGTCGAGCAGAACCCATCCAGCTTGAGGAGTTCCTTTGACCTCCCTTACGTTCTCAACGTGTCCCCTACGCGGAGACACATCATCAGGTAACTACTTGTGCCCTGATTATTCGGTCCTCCACCTCCCGGATAACACGAAGCAGTTACACTAGGGCGAAGAACACATGCTGGTCTTCATGACGCCACGTCCGCCCTGGTAGTTACCAGCATTGAACCTGATAAACTAGCCCAACGCGTAGTAACCGCTGGCCCTGCGCTGGAGGCACACTATAAATACCCTCTTTCACTAGAGGGTCAAGTAATCTCATTCTTACTTCTCTTTGTACTTGTTATCACTCTTCTCGACTCTTACTTTGGCATCAGAGTGTGTTTCAGGTACACCCCCCCTCTATTCTCTCAACAGTTCGACAGCTTAGACGCATGGCCGGCCAATGACTCTTTCTGATCAGGTACGATCAGTGGCGTCGTCCGTGGGAAACGCGAAGCTCCCTTGTTCTTCCGAGTAGTAAAACCAAAGCTTTTATCAACTTTAACTTCCGAGATCATGACCAGTCCACGCCACGACGATGTTGTCCATAATTCCGCCTTTTCCCCACTCACCAACAGCGAGGACCAGGTTGGGCCCTCCAACATCCATGATGGTGATGTGACGGACGGGCAGACTGCCTCCTCTTCATCCGAGGACGCGACACACCACGTCGCCCCTCGGGCAAGGAGCCCGACTGTTTTTCAACCCGTTCCCACACCAGCAAGGGCGGACCCGACGATGACTGCCCTCTTCGCAGCCATCAACCAGACTAATCTGATGTTGTTCCAGCAGAACGAGCGCATCGGGATGCTAGAACGAGATACCTCATCTCGCTCTCCCTCGCGGAGAACCCAACGCGAGGATTCCTGGAGCCCCTCTCCCCGACAACGGGGGTGCCGACCACAATTGGAGAGGCCTCAACCCGTGGCCTCCAAGAAGCGTGTAACACCCCATTTAAATTATTCAGTCGCTTTGGTATTTTCTGTGATGTATAGTTGTGTGGTGTGCTTAATTAAGGAAATGAGGTTAGGAGTAAGGGAGAGAGGTGACCTTAGTTGGGGTACTGTGGACCTAGATAAAGGAATAAGTTAATTATGATATCGAGAGCATTATAGTGATTAATATTATTCCAACTATTATTAATAATAATGTTAATGAGATTATCATTATTATTATTATTATTATTATTATTATCATAATGTTAATGGTGTGTAACTACTCCTTAGGTATTTCACCGTTTATTTATTGAATGTAGTTCTCACCCCTTTTTGTTGTTGTGTCTGTGCTCTCTTGGGAGTACAGGTGACCAGGTACTTGAGTAGTGCTTGGAGTGTGTTGCTATTTAATCGAGTCTTAGGAGTCGCTCTGATACGTAACATGGGATGACGGGATTACGTTGTTATTTGACTACTTTATTTGTTTATTGTTACGTATCTTCATTTATTGGACTTATGTTGTATGACCTCGTGTCGAGGAGAATTATATTGGAGAATTGATTTGTATTCCGCTGCTTAATTGAAAACTAAATAATATTGATTATCTTAATGAAATGAAGTGACTTAGTGTGATATCCCACTGTGTTGGAGAACTCTGATGAATTTTATGAATTATTTTTTCTATATTTATTATATTACGCGTACGTGGTAAAGTGGGGTGTTACAAAGCGCGACAGGTCACCTCCCCGGAAGGAGAGGCACTCCCCGGCCTCACGGAGGAACAGTCCTGAGGCCCCGAGTAAGTGGACGAAGGTTCTTAATCAAGTCCCTCGACACAATTCTTCACCCTCACGTTCCCCTGTCCGCAATGACGAGGATAACCACCAGACTCCCCTTTTGCAGGAAATCGTGGAGACCCCTATCCCCCACGAGATGGAGAAGTCGCTCGCGCTCTCCACCTACGACGACACGACGGATCCAGACGACCATCTGGAAGACATCAAGGCCATGCTCGATTACCGGAACGTCCGAGGAGCCATCAAATGCAGGCTCTTCCCGACGACGCTGAGGAAGAGAGCCATGGCCCAGTATAAAAGCCTGGAGCCCGAGTCCATCATGTCGTGGAGGGTCCTTAAGGATTTCTTCTCACAACATTTTACAGCGTCCTGGCGCCATCCAAAGACGGAGGCCGCCCTTTGCGCGATCATCCAAGCCCAGGACGAACCTCTTAGGAACTACATCGAGAGATTCACGAGGGAGGCAGTCCAGGTGACGACTTCAGACGACATGAAGCGTTACCTCATGGGGCAAGGCCTGCGCCGCGACTCCAAATTTTACGAGGCCGTGATAATCTACTGCCCAACCACCCTCCAAGGCTTCCTCGAGAAAGCCCGAGCCTACATCCGGTACGAGGAAATCGAAGCTGCTAATTCAGCCCAAGACTCTCGTAACCGCGAAGCCGCCCGTGGAGCTCGGAAAGAAGAAACATCGGCCCCCGCGCGTGGGGGAGATCGACGACAAGAGGATCATACGCGGGAGCCCCGAGAACAGAGGAGCCTCGCAAGTCGGTTCACTGAGTACACGGCCCTCATCGTTTCCCGCGAGCATATCCTGGATGAGTGTTCCAACTCAGAGTTCGTACGGGAAGGGGTTCGTTTCCCCAAACTAGCACCCCCCAAGGCCAACGTGGACAAGTACTGCTGCTTCCACCGAGGCCACAGACATGTCATCGAGGATTGCATCCACCTCAAGAATACAATCGAGATACTCATCAAGGATGGGCACTTAAAGAGGTACACAAGGGGAGAAGATGCCCCTAGACAAGAGGCCCTCGAAGCCAAAAGGGCCGAGGACATTCCTCCGTCCGCCAACGACACGGGGCTGCAGGTGGCCCTCAGCATAAGTCGGTGTTAGATGTCAAATTTTTCTTATTTGATCTATCAAATGTTGGCATCTTTCATTCCTTTTTGTAAAGAAAGAGTTTAGAATCATTATTGTTTTTGTTAATATGCATCATTATGTGAAAATGTCTTGGTTACTTTTATTTGTGTGCTATTGCGCAGAAATTAGGCATGCAAATTTGAAGAGTAATACACAAAAATTGTGACAAGGAAACCAAGTCATCATGAAAACATCAACAAGTTCACACAGCGAACTTGCTAGCGAATCTACTAGAAAAACATCAGAAAGTTCGCACAGCGAACTTGCCAGCGAAGGCCTTGAAAACATGGTATTGTTCATCCAAAAAGAAAAGGGACCTAAGTTCGTTGTGCGAAGGAGTTAGCGAAGTATTCACTGGAGCGAAGAAGAAGAGAATGCCTAGAGAACACCCCCATACTTGAGGCAGTGAGTATTTAGACAAGATTCTTTGTGCGAAGTTTGCAGCGAAGCCTTCGCACTGCAAAGGATTCTTCGCACAACGAACATGTGGAAATAGCTCAGGAGCGTCTTCACTGTACATTGGCACTTCAACTGCCATTTTGTATTGTTCGCATTGCGAACATGACATCTCAGCAGCATGTATATAAGTAGTATGTGGTACTTTTTGTAAAAGTATCTTTTTTCTTGTACTTTTCTTTCTAGAGAGTTTTTAGAGCAAAAACCCTAGTTTCTCCATTTTTCATCATCTCTTAGCCATCTTTCACAAAAATAAGGTGGATTCCCATCCAATATCGATTATTCGACTCAGATGTTGATTAACCTTCTTCTAAAACTTGTTACTCAAGCTATCATAAAAATGGGTGGCTAAAACCCCTCTTTTGTCAAGGTTAGAGGTAGCTAGTTCTGATTTTATGTATTCTTCTTGATATTTTG